TTTTGTTTAGACTTCCAGATTCTTAAGTCACAGCATGATCCATGTGAATTGTCTCAGATTCCACACCATTAACTTAGAAAGAACAGAAACTTTTATTTCCTTTCATGTAAGAGAAGCAGACTTCATACCAGCACCAGATGTAACACCAGCAAGTTCTCCTTTTCTCTGAGGAAGACATTTTTCCAAGGGATACAAATCCTAAATGGTAAATTTGCTAATATTTGTTTATATCTTGCTCTACTCCTTTGTGACATGAAGTAGAGTTGTAATTTCAGCAACAGAAGCTGACTAAACAAACTCTGCCTGGCTGAAAAAGCAAAAGTCAGCTGCTTTATAGCGGACTGTACTGTTTATAAACACAAGTGGCAACGTAATCTACTTCTGCTCTAAATCACATTTGCAATAATTTCCCTTTTCACACCACATTTCTTCAGAGCACAGCTTAAGGCTTCTGCACAGCAGTTTGCTGAATGAATGCACAAACTTTATACTGAAAGCTGGAAAAGTTATCACAAAGCGATACTTATTTTTAGCAGTTATCACCAGGAATTTGAATCTGTTTCGACAACATTTACTTAAATACCTTTTAAGTATTAAGTCCACCTGTAAACTGTGATTATTCCACCGCTCTGTGCGAGGCCACTTGCTTTACTCCTGGCCATTGGCTGAACACAGCAGCACTGCTGAGGAAAGGGTGTTACAAGGGGGTATTTCGCTGCAGTCAGTATGGCTTTTAGGGAAGATGAAGCCTGACCGCAGGGCCTGTCTGAAGCATTAGCTCTAAGCCCTAAAGAACCATCTTGGATTTTGCTTAACTCAAGTCTTTGTCTATACTGCTAGATAAGGAAGGGGCTAGGAAGCACTCGAGGGCCATGGGTCAAGCAAGCTGGATCCCTGGTTCTCCACGCTGCTTGATAATCACACTGTTTCTGGGCTCTGCTTTGGGCAGCACCCGTTGGCTCTTTCTCAGCAATATTCGGCTTTAGTTTGGCAGACAGTTCATTCCAGGAACAGGGTCCCAAAGGGACAGTGGATAGCAGTGCATGAGGTTTGGCTCCTCCCAACCACACACTGGCCCAACAGCCTTTATATCCTCGAACAATCCCACATAACCTCACGTTACACCCCATTCATGCGACACAGGATTCAGCAGCACCCTAAAACAACCACAGCTTGGTCTAGAACAGAGAGGTATTTCAGAAACCCACCAAAACTCTCCTCCTAAGGCAATAAATGTACCCAAAAGAGCCCCAGACAGCGATCTATCCTTGGACTTGGTCTGTGGGCGCAGTCAGCTAGAAAAGGAGGGAAAAAAAATAATAGAATTAGAAAATACAAACCAAGCGATGCACGATGGAATTGCTCACTACCTGCCGATCAATGACCAGCCAGTTCCCAAGGAGCAGCCCCCGGCCAGCTTTCCCCCTGCTTTGTACACCGAGCAGGACGTCATATAGTATGGAATATGCCTTTGGCCAGTTCGGGTCAGCTGTCCTGGCTGTGTCACCTCCCAACTTGTGTCCCCCAGCCTACTCACTAGTGTGTGAGAAGCTGAAGAGCCCTTGATCACTGCTCAGCAATAACTAAAACATCAGTGTGTTATCAATGTTATTCTCATCCTACACCCAAAACACAGCCCTCTACCAGCTACTGGGAAGAAAATTAACCGTATCCCAGGAGAAACCAGGACATCCAAGAAGGCATTTGGTTTGGAAACTGCCCACGGGAAGTACTCATTTGAGCAAAGACTCTCCTGTTGACAAGTGTTATCTACAACTTCCATGGCATGTCAGGGGGCTGGAAGCAGGGCTGGAAACTTCAACCTACCTGCTGAAATAAACAGTTTTATTTAATGCTACTATTTAAGTGTCATCATTAAGGGCTAGTATGAGGTAGTCTCCCTCCAAGAGCCGTTTCAGGCTGTCTGCAGGTTCCACAGGACAACACGACCACCTTACTTTAGCTTTACATTCGCAGGGATGACAGCAGCAGTAAAAACTATAGTGCCATCACTTGCCAATCACATGACCAAACTCCCCAGGCAGATTTTGGAATCGCCTGTTTACAAAAATATCTTTATTGACCTTTTGTCACTGAAGCGTTACCGCTTGTGCAGGTAGGGAACAATATGCATGAAGAGTACAACTAGTAACAATGTGTAATAGAGTGCATTACCCCCTGAAAATACGAAGTCTAAAATTTCAGGGCATTCAAAAACATTTAGTAGTAGTGAATACTTGTTATAAACTCAAGGGTTTCGTAGTAACATAGAGTAGTGACCTAATTAATTCATAGTTACTGAGAAAACGATTTTCGGGTGGTTTTATCTGTAAGAACGTAAGTTTTCAGCTCTGCGCTCATGAAGACCAACACCCTCGTTTTATTTAAATAGGATGTACCTCAGCAGGTGGCCCGTTTAATCTGATTCCTGTCCATGGGCAGAGTTCCTTGCCGACGGAAGAGTTTAGTCAGAGTATATAATTCAAATTGGTTTATCTGCTAACACTTAACTTTTTTACAGTTCATACTCCTGAGGGCATTTCTCCAGGAAAAGATCATTTCAACAAAATATGTTGCTGTTTAAAAACTCTTCTCCATCCTACTAGATCATAGGCTCATTTTTCTTCGAAATGATCTTTTCTAAATGCAAATGTTTAAAATTACTAAGATGCATTCCAAGAAAAAAATCAATGCTGAAGAGGCAACTTGACTTGTCTTCACCTATTTCTAGCTTACTAACATAGCAAATACATTTGAGGCTCTCAAATACTAATCCACCTTACCATTGGTAGCAGCATTTGTTCAGAATGAAACAGCTTTTCCACTCAGGCTTTATTTTTCTATTCTTATACAAAGAAAGTGTGTATCTACAGATGACACATTTTTGCAAACCATTCACTTTCTCATTTTGACTTTTAAAAACTGAGGCATTACTGGAACAAAAAGAAAGCACAGCCTTCCTATTTGGCTACATGAGGCTGTTGCACAGATGATATTTATCTCAACAATGTCAGATGAGTTGAACTCAGATCTCATAGTAACAGCAGTGCGTCACACTGATCTTGACAGTGTCGTGGAGACTTTAAGGTAGTTAATAATTCACGTCGTTTTCCTAACTGGTGTTTCACTGCCACAGGAGCTTACAAATAACCTAACAGGTTTCAATTACATTTACAACATTCGCATGCATTTTTGTTTGCATTTCATTCAACTTGAACAATGAAAAGGTATGGACATTCCAAATATAGGCAGTAAAACCCAAGTTAACAGCATTGCAGAGGAATAAATTCTTTCCTCTGATGTTAGAGTTCCCTGAGACAACTGTATTAATATAAATGATTTCACAGTTTGCTGTAAGTAAAAAAACCTAAATTGCAGCCCAGCAAAACAAAAGTGTTCAAGTGGAGCAGCAGTAACTCAGGAAGGAAGGACAGGACACGCCTAGTGCTTTTATGTGATATTCATTTATATGATCAGCTAGAGTTCTAGTATTAAGTAACCCAAAAAATCCCTAAAGAATTTCCTCTACAGGAAGCATGAGAAAAAAATTCCAGAAGTACTACTTGATTTTTTAAATTTGAGCTTAAAAATAAAAACTTTTAAGTGCTTTTTAGTCCTTTCCTACCCACCCCTCTGTAATTGCTCCGTTGGACTGTTCTCCCCTTCCTAAGTGTCACTTAAAATTCACATACAGAGTGCGGGCTCTGTCAGGGAAGTTTTGTTTTCAGAGAACAAATCACTGTACCCCTGGATGAGAGTTCTTCCCCACAGAAAAGCCAGGATACGCATTTGGTTCCAAGGATCAACAGAAATTTATGCCAGCTTCATGAAAACAATACGAAAGACTCGCCTTGCCATGTTGACATTAACTTACAAAACAAAGACACAACATAAAAATTGTGGGAACACCGTACAAATAAAAATCAGTGAAATGCTAATCAGAAATTCTTCACTTACAGTGCTGTAAAAACACATAAAGTGTAAATTAAGAATGTGGGAGTACATCAAATTTTGTTGCTATTTTTAAATATAAAGATTCGGGAAGATTTATTAAATATACCAGCGAGACCATTACTTGAGTGGATTCTCCTATTAACTGTATTCATTGACTATCCAATTACAGTAGCTCTTTTTATTTCAGAAGGAGCAATGAATTCTGTAAAACTGCGTGCAATCAGAATGAGATTTTTGTGCTCAAAATACAGCCGCAATGTTTCTGACAGGTATTTACTCCAGATACAGAATGGCTGTTTGCTTTAGAGGTGTATCTGGTATGCTAAGCTTCATTGTATAGTCAGTCTATTTTATCAAGGAAGTCTGAGCTAAAAAAGCTAAGTATTTTTAATTGATTTATACTATTAAAGTAACGTTACAAAAACAGACTACCAACATAATTTCATTTACAAGAGGAACAAAAGCAGCCGTATTATACTTGGCTCAAAGTCCAGATCTATATAAAGGAGTGTGCATTTAATGAAGCCAAAAAGAAACCAACCCTAAGAATCCTCAGTTCATTAAACTTGAGGTTCTCTGGTTTTCTTTTATACTCGCTGTAGCATTATCTTTACAGCATAACCCCCTTTTGAAAAGCACTTCAGCTAGTTATTTCATGACTCCCGGTTTTTAGCTCACCCACTCTACACGGTCATGTTACCATACAGAATTATTATATACAAGACTCCAGCTATTCAACATATACTTAAAGGTGACAAACCTCAGGCTTTACGGACATAACACATCCAAAGCCCTTGCAGGTCACAAGGAACATCAAAACACCAGCTGGTGTTTCACACTGTACAGTGAACATAAGCGGACAAGAAATGTTTTCTCAGGAACAGGTTATTGAATAAAATCCCAAACCATCCACAGAATACCAGTAAGTGCAAGCCTTCACGGTTGCTCCTGATAGAAGTTTTAATTGTGAAATACCAATATGAAATGTTCAGACACTTGCTGCATAAAAATAGGTTTCCTATAAAAACGCGCTGGATCCTTCCAAGTCACACCCAGGGTTTCCATCCAGGAAAGAGCTGGCTCAGATTTTTAGGGTCCATGGCCTGCTGTATGAGGAGGTTCACCTGCCCTCCCACACTGAGCACTGTTCCCTCCTCCACACCTTTCAGCTTCTCCTGAAGCCTCATCAGAACACGCTCAGCCACTTTGTTAAAACTCTGGTCATCGCTGCTGGCAGAATAAAAAAAGAAAACCAGGTGAATTAGATATGGATCCTGAAGAACAAGAGCAACAGTCAGTGAGAAACCCACCAAGCAAGGCGACAGGGCAGTAGGCAGACTGTAAGAAAAAAATCTTGCACCTGGCTTTTCTTTTACATTCTTGCGGATCAGCATTGAGCGTGGAGTTCATGTCAGCCTCATCCTCTGGTCTCTGCTGCAAATACAGAGCTTTCAAGGGGTTCATGGTCCAGTCGAAAAGAGGATCATAGAGCAGCACCTGCACAGTAAATAAACCTCCATTTCATATAAACTGTTAATTACAGCTAGTTCAGTGCCCGAGCCCAGAGGGAAGCACTCACGCTAACCACAATATTAGGAGGTTTGTTGAGTTTTTAAATCCAACAGAATTGGGCTAAATTGCTTAGTACACAACCCAACAACAAAACTGCATCTGATCATTTGCAGGTATTTGCGTTGTTCATACTTGGCTCAGTCCCCTCTCACAGCAATGAAGACATCGTTTTTTCATACACTTTGAGGCTCTAAATATCATCATTAGTTTTTAATGCATAGTGTAAGCTGCTTTTAAAAATTACTTAAAATTCTCTTCTTTGTGACTTACGCAAAGAGGATTTAATTCACCTGGCACTGCTCATGCTAGGAACATTGCACTATGGCTAGAAGTGTCTGGATACTGAAGAGGGAAAACTGCTATGTCTGAAATGAGTAATTCTCATAGAAAATGCAACTGTTCACAATTTTATGGAAGATTACATGAATTAACAAACCTGGCCAACACTACTACATTCAAATTCAGCAAAAAACCCTGACATGAATATTTGGTATAGTCATGCATACAAAGACAAGAAACTGAAGATATTCTGGCAGGTTATTATCAGAAAGAATGAAAAAATGCTTACCTCCACAATAGTCAGCAAAGCTTCCTGAGAATTTCTCATAACAGCCATTGTTTTCTCACAGCATCTAGAAAATATTTTATGTATTTTCAGGTTCTTTTCAGTAAAATGGAATGGTACTTTCATCATTTAAATAATGAATATTTGCACCCTTTTAAGGTTAATTTCTAACATGTGAGTAATGTCTCTGATATTTCCATTTTGAAAAAAAAAAGAAAAAAAAGAAAAAAAAGAGAAACTTAGAAAGGTAAGACCAGAAGGAGAGCGGCTAGTTCACTGATTATATTCCCTAGGGGAAAGAGATTACCTGTTTCACTGTCTGAAATATTTCTATACACAGAATGTTAGCTGCTACCTTACAAAGACAACACCTACACTTTTTTAAAGACATGACATTTGGGGGTTCCAAGTACTGTGCTCATGAACATCATGAAAATCTCGAATGAGAGAAATGTCCTGGTTTTCTGGGCTCTTTTGGGTCATTCACAGGAAATACGATGGAGGTTGACAGTAACTCAGCCCTTTTGGGATTCTTCTGTTTTGCAGCTCAAATCTATTGTGGGATTCATATTTTGCACTTGAAGTGATATCAAATATATGATCCAAAAGAGGAAAAAGGCTGCAAATTACTTACATTGAACTGAACAGAACTAAAAGCTAGGAGAAGATGGTTTGAAGAAACTTAACACCTCTGAATACATAGTATAGCTCTGAAAGAAACATACAGTTCTGAAGGAAAAAAATCCAGCCGTCTGAACTAAGGGATGAAATTTAGCTGTGGAGCCTTTGGAAGCACTGAGCCATCCCGGAATTCCACAAAAGGGTCACAGTAACCCATTAGTTAGTGAAGAATATGAAAAGCTGAGCAACAATAATGAACTTGTAATTGTTATATAAATAAGAGCGTATGAGTTAGAGGACAGCGTTTAGGTTTGAATATTATCATCAGAAATCTGAGTCTCCTCTCAGGCATCAGAACTATTTGACATGTCACAACCATAATGCCGACAGTACTCTGCTGCCTCTTTACCCCTACGGAATATAGGAGCACTTACCTTCTGAAGACTCCTTCCACGCCACTAATACCCATTCCGTCCACAATGTCCCTGGTTAATCTAAATGGAACAGTCTCTGGTGTGGGAAGGATTTTACCTTGCTCAAAAGCAACCCCTAAATGAGAGGATAATAAACGTTTTTAAAAGTGTTAAAGTAAAGAAGAATTAAGGTTTTCTTGCCTGCCACACTTACCCAGATCTATGTGCACTAGTTCTGCCGTTTGCTCATCTATCAAGATATTCTGAACATGCCTGTCTCCAAGTCCAAGAATGTAGCCAACTAAAACAAAAAGGTAGGGCTGAAACCATATTTACATGCCATAAAAAAACAGGGAAAATTTAACAGAGAGAAGATTATTAGAATCAGTGTAACACATGCAAACACACTAAAAGTGAGAATATTTTTTCCCCCATGTATACATATTATTTCAGTAAAGAGCAAATGCCATTCCACAAATCCAAAAAGAAAAGGTTAACTGAACGGAATTGCACAAAGGCTATTCTCATACAGATCTGTATTGTTTCATCGACTCCACAGACTTCTTGCCCGTTTCTCTCTGTAGATAGGTTAAGGAAACAACTTCACAGCTTTCAAAAAAAAAAAAAAAGATAAAAAGCAAGTGCATGATAAAATTAGGATTTTTTTTTACTACTATTTTTAAGAAAACCTTTTAACTCACAGTATCATGTAATCCAGAAAACAGGACTGGACATAATTCAGTCCATAATTCACTTGGGGCAGCTCTACTATACCTAAATAGTTCCTGAATGATTCTTTTCCAAGTCAGTTTGAAAAGTCTCAAGTGATACAAACGATGAGATCTTTCATGTAAGCCTAGTTCAGTGCTTTACTGTCCTTAAACACAGAAAACCTCCAAACTAAATCTCCCTTGTTGCAATTTATACCCGTTGCTGTTTTTCTATTAGCTGATGGACAAGGAAAGTAGTAGTATTTCCTACAAAAATCTTTCATCTGAATTCTGCTAAACTGTAGATTCTTTTTTTTTTCAGCAAAAAAGGGAGTGTATGTACATGTTAACATCTGAAATAGGATCTACTGCAAGGCGTACAATCTACTATCAAATGTCTTCCAGTGACTCAATACAGAACTGAGTCATCCAAAGAAAATCCACAATCCAACCACATGTATTTCCTTACTAAGACAGAAACACCAAAGGAAAAATAACCAACAGCTTAGATAACCGTTTCAGCCATGGCTAATGATGCCAGTACAAAGACAGTAAAAGATGAAGCTTTTCAACTCAGCTAAAACATTTGAGGCTAGAAATTAAATGATTAAAATATCAAATCCAAACAACAGAATTAGTGAGGTATAAACTTTACAAAAACCTATCAGAACCTAAAAATACAAACCACTACATAAAGCAAAGAAACAGAATTTCATACTGTCTTTCTACTGCAGGAAGGGGGGAGGTGGGGAGGAATGAATGAGAAATCTTAATTACAAAAATAATGCTGGTGTTCTTGCTGGCATTTTTTGCCCCTACTCTCCCTTTTCTGGCATCCGACAAAAGCAGAAGAGCCATTACCTCTGAAATGGTGTAAACTCTTTGTTTACATAATCTAAAAAGCTGCTGATAATAATCCAATATAATACCTATAGAAGATGTAGCCACACTGCGAGTGTATGCCAATCGTTTTTCAAACCACACAGCTGGATCCAGGAATTTTTCCATGCAGAAATAACGAAACACAGGTTGAAAATTCTCACAGACTTTCATGAAGATATTGTATTTCTCTTCAGAATGTTTCTTTTGTGCATCCTTTAAACACATAAGACAGGTTTTCCCCATGACCGACTGCTTTGGAAGGAAATTACCTCTTCCTCTGAAAGAAATACATTCCTCCTTTCTACCCCCTCTCTTCCATCAAATGCTGTTCTCATTCCTTTCTCTCTCTGAGCTATGAATTAAAAGTCTTTTTTACAGCAATCATTAATGCACCTATCTATCTGTTTCACTAACCAATTCTATTTTCATACACAACTCATGGGCTACATGCAAAAACACACTGCTACTTCTTTGGTTCAGCAAGTATATGTATTTTACAGCATGTACAGGTAAATGCATCTTGTTGGCAGATACTCCCCCTCGCACTCTGTCCTGGTACCTTAGCTTATCTGATGGCTTCATATCACTGTGAGAAAGTCTTTCTCACTCACTCACATGCACAAGCTGTACAAAGCCAGAATTAGATATACTTTTATCCTGTTAATACGATACAGATTTAAAAAGAAGTAAATTCTGGCACAATCATGACTATACAAAGTAACAGGTAAACCTGTTTTCAATTCTCTAAATGTACGGTGAGGTGGTTTGTGGAACTAAACTAAACTCAACTAAACTAGAAGTCCGAAGATCTATAAATTCCATGCCACTGGTCATGTTCATTACTATATAATAAAAGCATAGTATATAATTCTCCATAAATTCCCCCCCACGAAGAACATGAACCAGCTACTGTTTTGAGTTACTTTGACTCACCATCATTATTTTCTGACACTGATAACTGGAGTAATCTTTTGGCCTGTATCTCTTGTGAGCTCCCTCTTCGACATTCACAAGAAACTCCCCAATGGGAGTTGTTCCCGAGCACCACTCAAGAACCCCGCTTCTCTGAGAAAGGGGAACCACCTGTAAAAACAAAACCACTGCTGCATGGGGGAAGGTTATACACACACGACTATGAAATTGCCTGCTGCAGAACATGGGTGCATAGTTGGGTTTGTTTAAAAAGAAAAAAGAGCAAACCATATAGCTGACCACAACTTATGTTCTAAATATACATGTATATAAAATAGACTCAAGGTTTTTCTATCAAATACTTGCAATTTTTTTCCTAGCCCAGAGAACCTTCCATGATGTCCTTCAGTACCAACTTCATGACTACACTCAATTCGTATGTTTGCATCAGTATCCTGGGAGACCTGTGATTGCCAACAGCTTGCTATGCTTGAATGGGTCTATACAAGCATTGTGCGAATTACATGTAAAAAGTGAAATCTGGAACAAACACATGGCAGCTGCATGAACGTATCAGGCTTGTCTTAGTCTGCTTCCCACCCTAGCGGACAGTTGCTCACTTCATAACTGGCTCTAAGTGCTACCTCAGTTGCAGAGGCAGCAGACAGAAATGGCCAGAATGAACAATCTCCTGTCCTCAGAGAAGTAGCTACTGCCTGTTTCCTTCAATTTTCTTTTCTTATAAAAGCCTCTTTATCTCATTATGCAACCCCCATGCTCTTTTTCCCTGCTCTCACCCATTTTTACACACATAAAGCCCTGAATCTTCATTGAAAATTAATAAAAACGTGTCACTCCACCTGTGAATTCTTAAAACTATGCTAGCAATGCAGATAAGCTCCTTTAGAGATTCTGGAGTGCACATTTCTCATTCGCGAAAGGCAATTACTTTTATTTAGAGAGTACTTATTCAGAGGTCACCTTCATAGCTATTATTATAAACCCAAGCACATAAAAAGGAAGGAGGAGGGGAAAGTTCCTGTTCAAATGCATCTTCGGCATTCACAATAAGAATTTATCCCTGTATTTCCAATTCCAACAAAAACAGTTCTGCAATTCTAATTCTGCATGAACAGACCCTGGATGGGACTTCTGGATTCAATTGTAAGGAATATCACAAGCCTAAATTTAATGAAAATTCATAAACAAACTCGTATGCTCAAGTTTAATGACCAGCAACTTACAATTCAAGGACACTGCATGCCTTAATTTCATTTCATTTATAAGTTCATATGAAGAAAGCCTTGAAGAATATTTAAATATATATTTGGCATCAGAATTTTTTTTTAAGGATCTGGAAAAATTTCAGTTGTAGTAATTACAGAATCACAGAATGGCAGGAGTTGGTAGGGACCTCCGGAGACCACCTAGTCCAACTCCCCCGCCAATTGTAATTGTAGTAATGAAATGGTACTAATTGTTTACTCCATACCTTAAGAAGCAGTGACTATTTTAACAACACATAAATAAATACACTTTTATATTGTTTTGGGGTTAAAAGGAGGAGAATGGGGTACTACACTTTATTGGGAGCATTTATTCCTCTGCTGCAGCAGTGGTTCAGGGTTACCTTGTATCTTCGGATAGTTAACTTTCTCTTTCGTGTTTCAGTGTTTTGCTGGAGCAATGTATTGCACATCTGGAAAACCTGTTGCATAACAGCATCTTGTCTCAGGTCATCACGCCCCTTCAGCATAAACAGAAAAAGCAGTTAAAGAACACTTTTCAGCATCCAACTTCTTGTTCAGCACCTCTACAAAATTATTTAAAAAGATTCCACAAAACACAAGTTACTTTTCCACAATAATGACCTGCAATAAAATGTAATTAACAATTGGGGTTTCTCTGTATTTGGTTTTCTAATACTGCTCAGCTGCTTAAGCAGAACCATCATTAACTCAAATCATCACCCTTTTCTTCTTTTTTTTTGCCAAATGTTATTTGATTAAGGTTTCAATCAACTTCCATGGCTTATGGCACCCTTTATAAAAACAGATGTTTCATTCACCATATTTAGCAGCCCAGCACACAGCTGAAGCAGCATCAGTTGGTACTGCAGTTCTGAATATTGGATGCAGATCTAGCGATTCATGCTTCTCTAAAACTTTCAAAACTACCCCATACTTAACAGCAAAACAGAATTCTCCCAGCAGCTGCTGAATGTTTACATTCAAAGACAGACAGAATGAAATCAACCGAGTTTAAAGAGAAATAAAGGTTTTTTAGAGATTCATGTTTCAATGTGCGTGTTTTTGATTGTCTCTGAATTTATATGGGGAAGAAAGAAAAAGGTGATGGCTTTTATTTGCTGTACACTCCAGGTCACTAGCTGCGGCATGACCATGCAAGTCGCAAGTCTGGTAACTGTCAGGTAAGCTACTGTATATTACACGCATTGTTAAAACATAATTACAAAAATATATAATACTATTACTTGTTAGTATATTATTATTTAAATTATTGTTATATTACTTATTATTACTTTGTAATTTCCTTTATTAAAGCATTCCTGAACCATGAAAAGTCTGCTCATGGTACCGAAGTGATATATGAGAAACTGACAAGAGAACTTAAAAAAAATTCCAACATGCCAAGTCTCTGGGATGCCATTACAACTGACAGAACCTACCTTAACCAGCTGCCTCCTTTCTTTACCATCTGACCCTACACAATCTATTATTATAGGCAGATTCAGGCCTCCTGCTAAGCGAAATTCCGGCTTAAAAGACTTTATTGTCACCAAATTTTCATATTGTCCTGTGGGATCCACCTGGAATTATAAATTAGTTTAAAATTAATATAAATATTACCTCCATTTTAGAGGAAGTGGTAATGAGTTGTTTGCAAACCTCATCAGCAGACTATATGCTAAATATTAATATCAGCTTTCCATCACCTACAAGGATAATGGCTACAAAAATATGCTGCAGTGAGTTAGATTCCTCCTTGTTCACCTCATTGGTAGGGGACATGGTGCTGCTGACTTCCACTAAACCAGCTCAGACACAATTTCAGCCTGTCCCAACCAGCATTCTCCCAAGAACATGGTCATGTATGGCTGGGAGGCATTAGGCTTACATTGGGCTGCAAACGGACCCAATCCACAACACTAAAACTGTTGTGATCTACAGGATCTGTATCTTCAGCCATCCTCCATATCCTCACGCCACAACGCAACCCTGCTCAGGTAGCTGTAAGGAAGTATTGCTCCAGCTGTTTACATCACAGACCTCCAACTATCTCAGACAGTCTGTCCTGAAGGAGAAGAAAGGCAAAGAAAAGGACAATCAGGCTGTACAAAGGAGCAACACCTGGGGCCAACAGGAGACCTACAAACAAATGCTATTTAGCATCGGTGGCAATTTCTGGCCTCTGAAGTCAAACAGCATAAAACAGTCCTTGGCTTGTTTTATTAGCTTTATGAACATAGCCTAAGGGACTTCAACACAGGGAAGTTTGGCTCCGTAACATTTAAATTTTACGTGGCTAGCCCAAAAAGCAACTCTACACTCTTGAAACCGGTACGTTTCCTAGGCAGAGCATGTGGCATCTAAGAATGAGTGCCCATGCACCCATCCAATCAAACACTTATGCTAATGGGAATGGATCATTCACTGAATGGTAAAAACATATCAGCTGGCCATTTAGGAACAGGAGAAGAGGCATATCTATTAATTCTCACACCTTTCTGGACATTAAGTGCCTCCCTGAAACTCTGAGCTAGCACCTACAAAATAGGAGATTCAGATTCCCAAATCCTCTCTGGGATTTAGGTAGCTCATCACCCCTTTTATCAATGAAAGACTAGTCGGTGGTAAGAGTGGCAGTGGCAAAGACATCTTCATACAACAAGCCACAATAAGCCACTATCCAACAAACGTAAGACTTGGGGTCAAGGTTCTTCTAAGGCCTAAGGAAACCATCTCACCCTGCATCTCCCACCTGACAGTGAAGTACCCCTGGTAGGCTGACCTGTAAAGAACATGGGAATTTGATGTAGCGATATGTGCCCTGACTGCCGTTACAAAAATTTGAAGTTGATTCTATGATTTGAAATTCTAGTCTACATTTATGTCAACTTCAGTCACCTTAATTTCCATGGTAGGAACAACAACATCCTCCAAGTTCTTCAGTTTAATAATTGGCTGGTCAGCTGGAATATTTATTCCTTCTGTAAATAAAAGGAATTCATATTTTTAAATTCAGAACTATAAACACAAATTGAAGTTCACAAAAACCAGCTTACATTGCTTTTGGGACCCAAAACCTCACTGCATACTTCTGTTGAGCTGATGAAGACGACCACAGGACAACTGGAGTTTCCTGGAGCTTCATACTCAGAAAGTCTGAACTTTCAGTGCAAGCGGTTACTACGACTTTTAATCTAGGCCAAGTTGTACATTTATGAAAAACAGGACGCAGTGCTGGCATCGTATCTCATTTAACTAAGTATCAATATTTAGAAATACACTTTTTAACACAAGAAAATAAAATGTATCTTCACTATTAAAAGCAAAAAAAATTTTTCCAAGACTTACTTCTTTGAGATTTCCATGGAGTAGCATCTACATTTGCTAACGTGATGTAAGCATCACAAAGTGCTTCAATGTTTCTAACCATACGAGCTCTCCTTTTTCTTACAATATTGATTATATTGCGAGCAGCCTCCATTCTGTCCTAAAAACCCCCAAGAGAATACAAATATCAGACCTTGCAAACTACACCTTGTAAGATTAAAGATGCATCATAACATGCAGTCAAATAAGTACAATTGAGATCCATCCTATGAAAACAGAGAACATTGCAATAATGGACAGCCCTTTGGATATGAACAGAAATAATTTGAAGAAAAGCTCCATGTAGACTAATCTGAAATAATGAGTAAAGTAAAATATTACTGGGGATGGAGAGGAAGCAAATCTGTCTAGGCAAAGTGCAAAAAAACCTGCAAAAATTCTTCAGAAAAAGGGGTGGGTAGATTGTGTTCTTCCATCACCTTCCCGCTTCCATTATTTCCCCCCAACTGAAGAAAAAGCCTGTATGCAAAAGGCAAAAATCTGGCCATGTGTCCCTTCTGTACCTAACTCTGAGAGACTTTGTTGAGTTCAGTATAATCCTACTCCTAAGGGTAGGACCACACAAGAACCACAAATCTGAGAGAAAGGCAAAAAAATACACATAAAAATGTGGCAAAAAATTATATCAGTGGGGGGGGGTAAGAGGGTAATGCCAAACAACCATGCCAGGTCTACAGTGATGGGGGAGAGAAGGGGCATTAATCTATGTATGAGATGATTCCAAAGGCAGGTTCCAACAAAAATTAAGCAATAATAACACTAACCTGAAGCCACAGTTCAGTATTGCCCATTATCGTGGCTTTTAACACATAAAGGTCATATAAAGTAACAAAAGATAAACTGCACAAGGCTAAAAACTTATGCAGAACAGATGTTACCACTCAAAGCAGAAAAAATACTCAATTCTTTTAACTTTTAACAATATTGTACTTTTAACGATAAACCCACTCAAGTCTTTGTTGCATCTAAAACGCCTTTTACAGAATCACACATCAAGGATATCTACCACAAAACTCTTCGCAGTAATTGGGTCTATTTGTTCCAGGAAATGTTAACCATGTTTTGTTCAACCCCATAATTACTTCTCTCAATAGTAATTACCAATGTATGCACAGAAGGAGGTTTTTCTATTATTAAAAGCACTTTTTTCCTCCTACTCTTTTTAACAAAAGTCAGCTGTTGAGCTCTACATCAAAATACTCCTTGACATAATTGTTTTTTTTTTTTTTCATTTTTTAACAAAATGAAAGGACTGAATATGATTAATAGAATAGAAGCATTTGTAGTCACCACATCAAGCTGGGAGATCTCTTTCGGTGCATTTTTAATTAACTTATTTCTTCTTATGGCATCTGGTTTTGTGAGGAGTTCATCTTTGTTAGCATTTGCCAAAGCTAATATTATAAACAAAGTATGATGTGGATGATCCAGTGAAATTCTAGACATTAGCTGTCAAGAAAAACAAAAAGATCCCATTACTATAAACTGTACAGAAGAAAAAAAGATACTTATTTTATTAATTCTTTTGAACTTCTAAAGTTCCTAATAAGAAATAAAAAGTAATACTTAGATGGTATTTCCACAACTAAAATACAAAGTACATTCCTATACCTGCATAAGACTATTCTTATACACAACAAGAAAATCAATTAAAAAGCAAGGAAAAGAGTCCCAAACCCTCTCCCCCTCTGCCCTGACTACACCAATTTTGCATCACTCATTTTAATACACTTTTATCACCTACATAACTTATTTAGCTGTATCTGCACAAAGGAAGATACATATTGTTTTGAAGTATGCACCACTAAGCCAATCAAGACATCTTTAGGTACAAAACCCATAAATTACATTATTCAGAACTTCATGAAATCCTAAACCACCCATCATCTTGGTTCCCATCCGAGCAGCCAGCTGGTACATCAGAGGCAAAAACTTGTACGAAGGGATCTTCTCTGCATTTTTCTGTAGTAGAGAAAATTCAGTTAGAAAGCTATACTTGTACAAAAAACCCCCTGTAATCATAAAATACCAGGCAAGGGCTAGAAATTTTGTTTTTGACTTTTTTTTCAGACTGAGAGTAACCATTGCTGTAGGATCAAATGGCAATCCAGTAAGTATCACATCATCTCGGTCCATGTCTCCTAAATGCCACAAGTCCTTCACAAGAAAACTACTATTTTCTATTCTATTAGAGCAGAGCTTACACACATTGACTCAGAATTCAGTTCTAGATTCTTTGTGGCAAGAGACAATCCTAATAAAAAAAAAATTACAATCTAGTTTAAGACAAGAAACATTCATGTGTTAAAAATATGAGGAAAGAAACATTTTCTATTTTTCGAAATTAATTATAACACAAAGTGAAGAAACAAATTATACAGATCTCTTATAAACAGATAGTTCAGGTAAGAATTAACATATTTCCTGCCCAATTCTAGAAATGATAGAACTAGCCTGAGAATGAGAACTTTACTGATCCCTGGCTACTGTGTTATATAGACAATCTAAAAACATATCCTTTCACCTAAAAGTATATATAATACAAACTAGAATAACATACTGAAGGATGTTGAAGATGGGTAGTATCCAAGCTATGTAAAGAACAAGGTGACAACAGTGAAAGACCATGAGATATGCTTAATCATAGAATCATAGAAAAGAATCATAGAATAGTTTGGGTTTGGAAGGGGCCTTTAAAGGTCATCTAGTCCAACCCCCCTGCAGTGAGCAGGGACATCTTCAACTACATCAGGTGGGTCAGGGGGGTTGTGGAGTCTCCTCTGGAGATATTCAAAACCCATCTGGATGCGTTCTTGTGTGACCTGCTCTAGGCTAACCTGCTTTGGTGGGGGATTCGGACCAGATGATCTCCAGAGGTCCCTTCCAACTCCTACCAGTCTGTGATTCTGTGGCTCAGAGCCCTGTTCAACCTGACCTTGAATGTTTCCAGGGATGGGCCTTCTACCGCCTCTCTGGGCAGCCTGTGGCAGTGTTTCACCACCCTCATTGTAAAAAATTTCTTCCTTATATCTAGTCTTATAAGCCCCTTTAAGTACTGAAAGGCTGCAATAAGGTCTCCCTGGAGCCTTCTCTTCTCCAGGCTGAACAACCCCAACTCTCTCAGTGTGTCCTCACAGGGGAGGTGCTCCAGCCCCCTGATCATCTTCATGGTCCTCCTTTGGATCCAATCGAGCAGGTCCATGTCTTTCCTGTGCTGAG